TATGGGCTATATCGCAGCAATTACATTTGGCATCGACTCCAATAACACACCTAGTGTAACGTCAGCGCTTATATGCCCATTACGTGTATGGATTCTAAGTATCGGATTTTCAATCGCTTTTGGATCACTGCTATCTAAAACTTGGCGTGTATATCGCATATTTACTAGCGGCAAGAAAACAAAGATCGTATGTATACAAATTGTTATACATTCAGCTATGTTTATAATCTCTTTACTATATTTAAAGTTCACTGATATTTAAGTTTATGGATTCAACATATAAGCTCGTGAGATTTCAGCTGATAAGCTGTATACTATGTTTGAAGATTGCTTCGATTACTTTAATTGTAAAATATTGTTTTATCGAGTACGTACGAGTGTGTACTAAATTTATATCAATTTTTATATTTATTACATTATCTTGATGGTTTTAGGTGATTAAAGATCATCAACTTATTGCTATGGTAGTAATTCTTATATGCATAGATTTGTGCTACTTAACAATTTGGCAATTAGCTGATCCGTTAAAAGGCAAGCAGATCCTTGTAAGGATCGAGGTAAATGCTAATGTAAAGTAATAGAGTCTCATTAGTTTGTCAAATAAGCATCTTATAAATAATAATAACTAAGCCTAAGTAATGCTATTTAATTACAGAAGATAATCTCATACTTTATAGTAGATAGTGAAAGCTTACAACACCAGGTATTAATAGAGGACCGTAGATTCGGACATTGGCCGTAACCTAGATATAGATAAAGTCTTCACTTTTAAGGTGACGAGAGTTTAAAACATATTATATGACTTGCATTACTTATTTTACTAAGCATCGTAGAATCACAATGTCATATATAGTCGAAATGACAGATTATCTGCTAACTAGCTTACCGTGCATATGAATAATTCCGATAGTCTGAAAATAAGAAATCTACAGTTTTAAATTAGATAGCACAGTTCTATGTAATCTGTATGACTATACATCCAACTATAAAATATTTCATAGGCTGCTCGGTAACGTCGACTAATAGTTCTATCTATGCCAGCCACAAAACTTCTTGATTTGTTTATTTGCCCATTTCAATTATATAGATAGCTGGTAGTGATATGGGTGTGTTTCGGTATATAATCTTAGTTCATTAGCTCTGGTTTGAATATCGTATTACATAAAAGTTTATTGCTATCTAATTATGAGCTTGTGCGCTAACGGATTCTTTGTTACTTACCATTTGCGATTATTTATGGCTATTACAGGACTCAAGCCAAGACTTAAATACTGTTATACGCTACTATAATGTTTTATGCAGCTCCCAAAATTCTTCCATTTGGTTAGGCATTATATATGGTATGAAATTACTGTTATTAGTTTTTGGAACTTTTCTGGCCTGGGAAACTCGATATGTTACTATTCCCGCCCTAAATGACTCTCGTTATATTGGAATGTCTATCTACAACACAACACTTCTCTGCGTTATTGCAATCATTATTAGTCAGTTTCTTGGAAGCCAAGTGGATGCAAATTTTGCAGTTATTGCAGGATTTATCATCTTTGGAATCACAGTAACAATGTGCCTTGTCTTTGTGCCTAAGGTAAGCGATAAAGCTGAACATTATAGGCTATTGACTAGAAGAAACTAACAGTAGAATTTATTAATATTTTTAATGTTTAATTTATGAACTGAGGTAATACATTTAAAAAGAAACGGCTTTGCTGTTATGCAAAGTAATAATAATACTGGCAGAGCGAACTCTAGAGTAGACTCTATGGATATAACTTTTGGTAAAGGTAGAAATATCACATGTGAAGACAAAGTTGTCGAGGAATTTATTCGACGAATAAAAAATGTGAGTTTAATTAGCTTGTGGACCGTTCAGTATGCTGGAATAGTCTAAATTTAATAGTTTAATACATTTAGATAATGGCGTTCTTTCGTACTAGTAAATGTGTATAAGAATAACTACTAGTGCTTAAATACACAATTATGTAAACAGTAGCAGCACTTGTCGATTACTTAATAATACAAAGTTGAGAAAGACGTGTATAATGTGTAATTTATTCGTACTGCCAAATGTTGCACCGTGACTTTCATAATTTTTTCTATTTTATCTAAATTATAATACTTGTATATCAAAGAGTAGCGCTAAAAATATTGTACTAGCTAATAATTAATCGATCGAACAATTAATTACATCACGCTATACGGTACTGCGGTAATTGATCATTTGTAAATTGCGTAGGTAGTAAAGCACTTATACGAGTAGTTTATCTGTTATACAAAGTTGAAGAAATGATCAGCATAAAGTGTATTTTATTCCTACAGCCAGACCTTGCGCCGTAACTTTGATAATTTTGCACTATTTATCTAAATTACAATACTGTGCACCTAAGAACAGCGTTAAAAATCTTCTACCAGTGAACGATTAATTGATTAATTTTCTACATCATTTTGCATAGAATCGGGTAGTTATCGATCATTTGTACCACGAGCGGTGGTAGAATTTTATTCTATCTTTTATTATTTCACAATAATTGTTTTGAAATTTTAATATAGTGCGATGAAGCAAACGGCATTGTGACAAAAATCAGGCGTAGATGGAAAGCTACTAATTCACCACTAACACTTGGAACCGATAACTTGAATTAGTTCTCAATATGTGATTAAGAAATAAATTATACAAGCTATACACTCTGCTCTAAATTTCTTCTTGAAGTCTTTATAAATCGTAGTACTATTTCTGACTGTATGATATTGTACGGTATATTCGAGCAATTAAAGTACCTATTTCATATTATAATTATCGGATCCTCATTACTTAAGTAATACGATATCTATTTATATTTACGCATGAGATTAATATACTAAATATACTTTATTCATCTTCCTTTAATTTATTCTTCAATCTGACCTCTTTACTAAATACTGATTAATAGCGCTTAATCTTCACATTGAGATTAGTAGTAACGTTATACGGATAAAAATCGAATATTATTTGATTTGTAAATGACCGATGACTTACTTGTACATGAAGGCTATTACTTACAGTTATATCTTGATAGATAACATTCTACTTCGTATAATTTGTCGTATTGTCATCATCTAACGACAACATCGTTTGATTCTTAAGTCATTCATTATGATTTCTTCTTGTTTTAATACGAATAATTTTAATATATCAGATTGTCTATTACGTTTTATTCGATTATAATAAAGGAAACAAATTTCGCTTCTAAAAATACTTTTAATATGTATTTAGGATGTTTCTTGATATCAATTAAACGGCTGAAACAAATTTTTCACATTACCTGACATTAATTTAGGTATGATACTAAAATATAAGTTTTTTATAAAATGACTAGTTATCAATCCTGCAGGAATTCCTTAATCATAGTATTAAGTTACTGTTACTGTTTTACTTCGTTGAGAGTAAGTATCTAATTTATGGCTATGAAATCAGAATAGTACATTTTACGAGTAAAATAACGGGCACTGCTATACTTTAGTTAGAGTAAGTATCGCAATTTATGGCAGTGAGATTAAAATAGGACATTTTACGAATAAAATAAATTAGTACGAGTATACAAAAGTGTACACTTTCTATTATGGCTGTGTTATTTCTTTGTATAAAATATTGAACTACGGTTCTAATTATGAATGTCTAGATGGTTCACGTTCAGTTTCTCGATATTTTACACAAGTAACAAATTTTTAGTTACATACCAGTATCAATAAAATATTTTATTAGTACATTTCTCATTATTAAAGTCCGCAAGGTACAATATTCATTAGAATACTTGACGATCAATGAGAGTACA